GCCCCAAGCTCTGTTTCTGAGCAGCTCACTCATGGGGTCACTCTGGCCCTCTTTTTCTCCCAGTGACCTGTCCTCCCCCATTTGGGGGGATGGCAGTGATTACCTGAGGGTCGGCATCAGATCAGCAGAGAATGACCTGCTCTTGACCCTCGACCCTGACGTGACCGCCAGATGGGCTGTGGCGAGGGAGGAGGGATAGGTGCAGACTTCGGGCAGCACACCCGGGGCCTCTCCAATCCCTGCCGGCCTGGCGCCAGGGTCCGTGCGGGGCGTCAAAGACCATGATGGGGTGATTGGCACATCCTTTTCGGCTGTGAGCTGGTCGGGGGCAGGCGATGCTGGCCAACAGGAGGGGCCCGTGATCCCGCAGAAGACGTAGGTGTGTGCCGGGCACACTCAGAGCTGAGGGCGCCGCGCCCCGCCGCGTGCCGGGGAGGGGGGGGATGCAGGCCTGTGGTTTTTCCAAGCAGGTGGTCCCTCCATCGGCACTTTAACTGAAATAACTGTAGAATCACACGCAGTTGTGGGGCTGGGAGAGGGACAGGCCCTGCGCCCTTGGTGGGTCCCCGGTGCTGGCAGTTGCAGAACCCCCGTTTCTGAGGGGTGTCAGCAAGGCTGCAGTGCCGCCTCCTCCTCCGACCTGGGCCCTCACCTGTGCCTCCGCACTCAGCTGCGTCTCCCCGCAGGTCTGGGCCCACCTCCACAGGGGGACGCAGAGCCGCCCGGCCCTGCGATGCCTCCCAGGTCCTCCTGTGACCTGCTGCCCCCTGCTCCCCACCCCCAGCTGCCCCTCTTTACGACTCCTGCCGTGGCCACCACTACAAGGTGGGGAGGCCCTCTCTTCAGGGAAGTCTCTCCTGTCCTCAGCCCCTGCTGCTCCCAGGAGCCACCTCCTGAAGGTGGGGAGCTGTGTGTGGCCCCAGCAGTGGTCCCCCAGCCCTTCTCTGTGCGGGGCCTGGAGGGGTGGGCCTGCAGGGGCCGGCCAGCGGCTCTCCGGGCCAGGCAGGAAGATGGGGGCTTGGGGCCCCGGGGGCCAGTGTCTGCTGGCCGCTGGCGGAGCGCGTGCTCCTGTGGGTATGCACACCCTCTGGGCCGGGCAGGCGAGAGCCGGGGCAGGTCTCTCCTCTGGCCAAGCAGGGGTGTCCTGGGAGGGGGTTTGCAGGGGGAGGAGTGTGCGCTGTGCTGGGAGAGGGCGGGCCGGCCGAGTGGGCGGGGCGTGTGGGCGGGGACTTCTGCACCGTCCCTCCGGGCCTGCTGGCAGTGTCCTCGGGGATGTCGTGGACCCGCACTGGGTTGCTCCTGTGGGGTCCACCGGCCCGTTGGGGGGCCCTGCTGTCTCCTGCTCGGGGGAGGAAGGCGAGGCGGCCCCCGCCCCGACGCTCTCGAGCCCCAGGGATGGGCTTTTCCCTCTGCTTCTTCTGGGGTCTCCAGGCAGGGGGCCGCGTGCCTGTAGGGGGAGGCCACACGGACGTGTCTGCAGGACCCTCTCAGCCCCCTTGCACACTCCTCTCGGGTACACTTACACACAGGCTGCACCCATGCTCACACCCACGCTCCCAGGCCCCACCCAGGCGAGGCCAGCAAGTTCAGTGGCCTTCCTGAAACCCCACCGCACCACCAAGGGGGACACACACATACATACACTGGAACTTGGAGAAGTTCCTTCCCGGTCCTGGCCCAGGAACCAGGCTTTGCTGGGTTCGGCGCGCTCCGGAGCCCACCGCCAGGAGCTGGGGCGTCCGGGAAGGAGCTGGTGGCCATCGGGCCAATTATATTCACCCTCCTGGGAGGGTCCTGCTTATTTGGCCATCAGCCTTGTAGGGACGGTGCAGGAGGGACGTTCTGTACCAGGTCACAGAGCCCACCTGTCCTAACTTGGGGTCTCCCCTCTCTCTGCAGACCCCGATGTTTCGATGGGGCTCTCTGGGAGATAGTGGGGTAGCTTCTGTTCAGGGATGAGTAACGCCTGAGGTGGGGGCAGAACCCCCCCCCCCGAGGCTGGAAGAGACCCAACCCCAAACTAGGGGCCGGGGGACACGGTGGGTCCCAGCAGCACAGTCCCAGACCAGGGGCCGCTGGGCTTCTCTGCTTCACTGACCAGATGACTGCCGTACACATGCTGAGTCATGTGTGACAAGCCTCCAGCCCAGGCCTGGCACTTTGTCACCCAACAACACAGTGGTCTGGCTGGGACTGGTGTCTGCTGAGGGCCCTGTGGCCCAATCTCGGTAGCCCCAGCTCAGAACTGCTCAAGGGCCTCCCAGCATCCAGGCCCCTTCCCCTCCTCCTGTCCCTGCCTGCCCCTCCCCTCTCCTCCCTACTTTTACTGCCTTGGTGTGTCTCCCAGAAGAATTTTGAGGAATGATGTGCTCCGTCAGGAGCCCCCCCCGAAACTACCGCAAAACCCCAATAAAGGACCCGCGGTCTTCTGGCTGGGAAATAACACACCCGAGCCGGTCTCCAAAGTCATAAAAAGCTCATGTTCTTGGCTGCGCCTCCCGACCTTCAAGAGAGAGTCCCTGGAAACACCCGGGTAGTCACGGGGCCTGGGCAGCCAGGGCCAGGAGCCGGGAGGCGGGGTGGGGGCGGGGGGGGGGATGCTGGTCCAGTCTGGGCAGAGGGGCTCCTGCTTGGGCTGGGCCCTCCCAGACCCCCTGACAGGAGCACGGGGCAGGGGAAGGACGGTCTCCCCATGCAGCCCCTCTGGGTCCCCGAGGGCCCTGGGGAGCTGGGTGGTTTGTGTTCAGCCTGCCCCGAGGCTCCGGCGTCTCTGAGAAGCTTTCCACTTTCTCCAGGGCCTCGCGGCGGCTGGGACGCCTCGCTGTCTCCAAATGCCTCTGTGGGGTCCTCAGGCCTGCTGCCCCCCAGCTCTGAGAAAAGGGCGCCAGGGGTGGCAGAAGGGAGACTCGGGGTTTCCTGGCGCTGGCGGTGGAGGCCGGAGCACAACCTCCTTAATCAGCAGGAAACACCGCCGCGCTCTCCCGAGCTGTTTGCTCCGCCAGGAAACTGGAGGTGGCTTTACAGTGTCATTTGTCCTGCAGCAGGTGGGACGTTTTGGGAAGTAGAATTCAAACAGAAAATTTAAAAACACCCCCCCCCCCCGCCGCCACACAAAAGAGCCCTGAGAGGCACCCGCGGGCCGGGCGCCACTGACCCCCAGGCTCAGACTCACGTGCGAGCCTGTTCACCAGCTCCGTGCAGTTCCCGGGTCCCAGTGACTAGGCCCCACCTGGATCGCCGCCCTGTGATTTAGCTCTGTGCCCTTGCAGGTGGGGGAGGGGTGCGGGGGGCACTGGCAAAGCTCTGACTGGGGGTCTGGGTGGAGGGGGCTTCGTGGGGGGCCTCGGCGGCCTTCCTGAATGGACCCCACCCGACCGTGAGAAGGAAGCAGCCACTGGCCACTTTCAACGTAACGATTGCTCCTGGGACGCTGCTGAATGTAATGTGTTACCCCTGTGATGTTTTTTCCCCTTTAAGACTTTGGTTTCTCTGGAAAGAAAGCATTTTGTTTCTTCTCAACCAGACCTGTTTACAAGCAGCATGGGGGACCCAAAGTCATTTTTCTTGTACTTGAAGGTCCCGTCTCTGTGGAAACTGCTGCTTCTCTGGCCCGCGTCAGTCAGGGAGCAGGGAGGGGCTGGCGCCCGAGGGCCCAGGGCCGAGGTGACCACTGGCCAGTCACTTCCCCAGGTCTTCACGAGGTGGGCTCGGGCGGAAGCCTCCAGTCACAGGTCAGCTGGCTCCAGGGCCGAGGGGTCCTCCCCTCTGTCCCCCACCCCCACCGCCTCCTCTGACGTTTAAAATTTCACCATGGTGAAATCCCAATAACATAAAACAGCCACTGTGAAGAGAACGATTCAGTGACCTGGAGCACGTCAGGATGCTGTGCCCCCGCTGCCTCTGTCTGTTCCAGAACGCTTCCTTCCCCAGAGGAGACCCCACAGCTGTGCATCCGTCCCCCCATCTCCGCCGAAACACGCATTCCGTCTCCACAATTCGCCTGCTCCGGATGTTCCTTAGACACAGAACCACGTGCCGCGAGGCCTTTGGTGTGATGCCCTCGTGGCAGCGGGGTGGCAGTCGGTTCTTTTCATGGCTGCATAATACTCCACCACGTGGGGGACCACGCTCCAGCATCCCGCACCTGTGGGCGGGCACCTGGGTGTTTCTGCCTTCGGGCGACTGCGGATGATGCACTGCCAAGTTTACCCGCCTTTTCACTTCTCTGGTCAGCATCCAGAGAGCCCTGGAGTGAGCCCTGTCCCCACTGTGTGACCTACTCCCTGCTCTCGCTGTCCCTCTTCAGCCTGCTTTTTGTCACCTCCTCGGGGCTGGTGTCTGTCCAGGTGGCACTCTCTTGACACCAACCGTCTCTTAGGAAAAACCCCAAAGACAGGCTGCCTGGACGGATACGCCAGGGACCCTCCCTCCTGTCCACTCGGCCCTGTAACTGGCGGCCAGGGAGGCCCGTCCATGGCCTCCGCAGGCCTCTGTCCCAACTGACCATCGGGAACTTCCGGGGTCCTGCTGGCCCCACCCACTGCCCAGGGTGTCCCAAGTGTAGGACACCTTCCACAGGAACCCAAACTCTGAGTCCTCCTGAGCCCTTGGGATGTGACTCTGTCCCTTCAATTCCAAGGCTGCAAACGCGGCCTGCACGGTTCGGGGATGTGGATTCCACCACCAGCTCGGGGTTGGGGGCCCAGGGTGACAACTTCCCTCCCCATCCCCAATCTCCTGGCATGGGGAACAGGGCTCTCTCCTAAAGTGGAACAGGCTATCGGGTTCTCAGTCCCGCCGGGGGGACAGGGAGATGCAGAGGGCGGTCCCTGGAGGAGCCGGTGGCACCGCCATCCCGGGCACCTCCTGCACGGGTGAGTCCCGCCGGGCTGCAGAGGTACCTTGGGGGCCCCCACCCCAGCCCGGTCCCGGGTGGTCCCTGAGCCTCACTCACAGGGGAAGGTGTGCCACCCGGCCTGACGCTGCCTTCTCTCCCCCAGGTGACGGCGACATTATAAATAATATGTATGAGCCGGACCCGGACCTGCTGGCCGGAGAGAGTGCCGAGGACGAGACCGAGGACAGCGTCATGTCCCCCATCCCCATGGGGCCGGCGTCCCCCTTCCCCACCAGCGAGGACTTCACCCCCAAGGAGGGCTCGCCCTACGAGGCCCCCGTCTACATCCCCGAAGACATCCCCATCCCGCCGGACTTTGAGCTCCGGGAGTCCTCCGTCCCGGGGGCCGGCCTGGGCATCTGGGCCAAGAAGAGGATGGAGATCGGCGAGCGCTTCGGCCCCTACATGGTGGCGCCGCGGGCCACGCTGAAGGAGGCGGACTTCGGATGGGAGGTGAGCCTTCTCTGTCTGCCTGATTGATCGCGGCCATTTATCTTGGGCTCCATCTATTTATAAAGCCGGCTGAGCCGCCGCCGCCGCCCCAGGCGGGAGGCTCGGGCCAGAGAGCGTTCGAATGTCACATTTCCCAGGCTTGTTTTGTCCCGCCGTTCGCATGACGCGACTCCGAAAGCATCGCAGGTCCTCGCGGGTGCCTGTCAGCCCCGTAGGCTGTGCCCGGAAATGTGTCTTTAATGAGCTCATGTCTTAAAGTGCCTGCGCGTCCTGTCTGGGTCTTAGGTGCTGAGAGATGCGTGGACCGTCCCAGAACAGGGTCACTGCGTGGGGGACCTCCTGCCCTTGGGGGCTTTGCACCCACCGCTGAGCGTCTCATAGACAACACCTGGTGGCTGTGCTGTCCCCAGGCGCCCAGGGCCTCCCACCCACCGTTCCCTTTCTGTCACCCAGCTGCCTGGCAGGGGCTCCCACTTCTCATGTGAGCAGGGAACAGTCCGGTCCTGCCCGAGAGGGGCTTCGGCGAGTTAGTTTTCCCCGACGGTCTTGGTGGCTCTGTGTGCAGCAGGAGAGTGAAGGCACAGTCGGTGAAGGGTGCCGATGTCCCTGAAGGAGTCCCGGCCTTGGAGTTGTCACCACGGATGCTGGGCCCCCATCCGAAGGTGCTTTAAGCTGGTCTCCTGGGTCCCGGCCTTTCCGCCGGCCCCCCACAGCCTGTCTCAGGTGCTGCTTCGGCTGGGGCGCTGGCCAGGCGAGAAATGCAGGTGCGCCCCTGGATTCTGTCTAGGATGGGGACCAGCCCCAGGAAGAGCCGGGTTCGGGGCAGTGAGGGCGGGGGCGCCAGCTCTCACAGCCTTGCTGCGGCTCCGGGAAGGTCCCCTGACTTGGTTCACTCTCCAGGCTTCCTGGTTTCCACACCTCTCGGGGCATGACTGAACCTGTTCCTAGAGACATGGGGGGCTCACATGTGCCCTCCCCCGGGCTGGAGGCGAGGCTCCCAGACCCCCACCACCTGGGGGCACCTCTCCTGGGCCTGGCGATATGGAGGCACTCCCTCAGGGTCTCCCAGAGGCTGGGAGTGCTAATGCTTGTGAGGGGGCAGAGGGCAGTGGCCCACAGCTGGGCAAGCCTCCCTGCACCCCCAGAGACAGGGCCAGTGCACCCTCAACCCTGGGGGCCTCCGCTGCCCAGCAGGCAGGTGGGGTGCGGCCCTGGTAGCTCGTGGGGTGTGCACTCGGGGGCCACGGAAGCTCCCGGTCTGAGTGTGGGCTCTCTCGGAGGTTCAGCTGGGAGGCAGGTGCACACAACCTGACAGGCGAGTGGCTTTGGCTGTGAGGTGGCACTTTGCAGACTCGGCCTGTTCTGTCTGTCCCACCTGGCTGTTTCAGGAGCAGGTGGCTTTTAGGTGCTGGAGCAAAAGCAAGCCTACCCGGTGCTGCGTTGGACGACCTTGAGGCGACCTTGTTCCTGTCTGCCCTGATAGGGTCTCTGTTTGCTCTTTCTTGAAAGAAATGGCTTGTATCGCCTCTGCCTGCCGGGGCCCAGCCCAGTACCAGCCTCCGTTGTTATCTGTTGACTTTGCCACATTATATATTCCCGGCGGACACAGGGAAACACACTCCCCGCCCGGCCCCGCCCACCTCGGCAGTGGGCTTTGTCCCCAGGTGTGACCCGACACCTGCCTCTCCAGCTTGCACTGGAAGTGCTTGCCCTCCGCCCGCCGCCCTCCCTCAGCACTCCAAGCGCTCGCCACCCCGCACCCCACCTCGTTCCCCTGGAGAGCTCGGGCGCTGATGCTCCGTGGTCCAGTGCTCCGTGGTCTGTCTTCGGGCGTCAGAGCCTCCAGCCGGTGGGTCGGGCAGGTGTTTGCATCATTGTTGCAACAGAGAGCCCGCAGCAGAACCGGATGGGGGCCCCCCGACTCCGTGGGAACAGAGGGAGAACCCTGAGGGAAGGACAAACCTGCTTTTGCTTGAAGTTCATCCGGAGGCGGTTTCTTTCTAGCCTCACGGGCCTCTGTCTCGGCCTCTGGGGCAGAAAGCCACTGTCTTCCCTCCTACGCAGCCTGGTGGGATTTCCCACGTGTCCCTGGAAACAGATCTTTGCCGGTTCCCTGTATTCTCGTGCCCTCCCTGAGTGGGACAGACAGCTGGGGAGAGTGACTCCCAGGGGACCCTTCCCGAGAGGGGTCGACTGAGGCCCCAAATCAGAGCAAAAAGCTCAGGATCTTCCTCTGAACCCCGGAGTCACTAACACAGGTGCGGTGGCCCGGCCTTGCACCCTTGCAAGGACGAGCCCCGAGCCCGCAGTGACGCGGTGAGGGACAGAACGAGGCAGCCGCTTGGGTGTAGTGTTGGGTTAGCAGGTGAGGCAAGGGCAGGCGTGGACGTCCGAGCGGGTCCTGGGGACAACACACGTCTGGGGTCATCCCCGCAGGGCCCTGGGTTCTGTGCGTGAGGTTGTTGGGTCTTGCCTGGGACTCTCAGTTCTGTTTTCCAGTCTCTGTGTGCTGTCCACGGACAGAGAGAGACAGGAGGGGACATTTCCGCAAAGACAGCAGAAGAAATTCGAGGGGGTCCGGGGTCACTGTGGACTCCCGGGGGGGCGGCCGGGGGCGGACCTGTTCACAGTCTGAGCTCGGAGTGGAGTTCCTGTGGTCTGGGCCTGGGAGTCGGGCACACTGGGGGTCCCCCGCAGACACTGGAGGAGGTCCCCAGGTCTGGACTAAGATCAAGGTCAAGGTCAAGTAGACCCTTCTCACCGTTACTCTGGGACACCATGGGAACAGTTTTCTTTCTACTCGGAGAACAAGATTGTTTTTCTGGACATTCAGCGGAAATCAAACTGGACGGCCACGGTCCCCTTTTGTCTCCGTGTGACTGACGCTGTCCGGCCACCGCATGGTTTTGGGCTGCTCAGCCCTCTGGCAAACAGCACTTCTCCCCCCGCCGACCGAGACACCATGGCCTACACCCTTCAGGTTCAAGGTTGGGGCAGCCCCTTGTGAAACGAGGGGACGGAGAAGGGTAGCCTGGTGGCTGAGGCTTTCCCCCCAACATGGGTATCAGGAGCACCCCGTGTCTCTGAACCCCCTTTCTCCTGGGTGCTTGGGGGCTCACCTGGAGATGCCTGTCATTTTGGAGGGAAACACACCCCATGTGCTGAGGTGTGTCTCTCTTGCACCCCGACCTGGCCAGCCACGTCTGTGGGGACAGACAGAAGTTGGAGTGAGTGGGGTTGGCCCCCTGCTCCATCTCAAAGGGAGGGCCTCTGTGTCCCTGCCTGGGGTGACGCCCGCCCCCCAGAGGTGACCTGCCTGCCGATGTGGTCGCCACTTACGCTGCCTGGGATAAATCACCGTGAGATTGCGTTCCAGGGCCCTGGGGTCTGGAGAAACAATGATTTTGCTCATTTGTCGAGTAAATCATGACATTTATCATCATGCTGTTTATTTTGCTAATTAAGAGTTGTCTGGAGTGACGGCCCGGAGGGAGCGGGCTGTGGAAGCTGGCTCCTTGGCTGCACCGCCTGCCTGGGGCTGGGCCTGCAGCTGGGACCACCTCCCCCCCACACACACAACTATGGGCACGTGGGGGGGGGTAAGCCCTGCCCGACCCCTGGGGAGCCCACGGGAGGGATTCCCACACCAACTTCTGCTTGTCCCTGGGTTGAGGGCCTGTCTCCCCCCAGGAAGCCGGCGCCAGTGGCCTCGGGGCCCAGAGCATTGCCCGCCTGTGACTGGCGCCTGGGCCTCTGCTGAAGGGGCCGGTGGAAGGGTTGATGTGAATGGACGGGGTTTCCATCATTCGGACGACTGACTCGGTGCGTGACCTCATCCCCTGGCCTTCGGTCTTGAGTGCTTGTGTTCGGGTTCACTTGGTCAGTCAGCAAACAGGCTGCGTCTGGGCTGGGCCCGTGGGCATTTCGGGGTGGCCAGGCAAAAAGCCCCAAGACCCCGGGCTACGGTTCCCAGCATTCTGGCCATGTGACCCCCACTGTGATCCCCCTGGGGTTCTGGAGCCCAAGGGAGGTGTGGGGAGGGCCAGCCAGGACCACCCTGCACGTCCTGGATGGCGGGACCCACAGAGACGCCCGGGTGGGGATGCGTGGGAGAAGCCGCCGCCGCTCTCAGATCCTGGGACGGTTCCTAGACAGGCGCTTCCCAGGACGCTGGGCCCCCGGGCAAGGCCTGGGCTTCCTGGGAAGGAAGCACTGTGCTCCCTCACGTACACCCATTTTGGGGAAAGCAAAGTACTTCTTTCCCTAGCCAGGGCCAAGCCTCTTTAAATGCCAAGAAGTCTGGGGGCCCATTTTGGGTCCTGGGCGGTGGGATGAATGATGAGGCCTGCGAGTGTCTGCTCCCCTGGGGCATCAGGGCACCACCTGCAGTGGGTGGGCATCCGGCCTCTGTTCTCTCGGAAGGAAGGTGTTGGGGGCTTTCAAAGGGGCCGTGGCACTTGGGAAGGCCTGGCACCATGACCAGCCTCTGTGGGGACCCAGACAGCATGCCGGGCCCCAGGGGCTGACAGTCACCCTGTGGGGGAGGGGCGGGGCCGTTCAGAGTTCCTGGGCGTGGCAGGGAGGTCACAGGTGCCCAGGGTCTCGGTCTGAGGCCTCCCCCCAGACTTAGCTTTGGGGTCTCCGTGGGGAACAGCCTCTCCCTCCCTCTCCTGCCTTCACTGCCTTACCCCCAGCACCCTCCTCTTTCCTCCGAAAAGAAGAATGTGAGGGTTAGCACTGAAGGTCAGGGTTGTTCCTTGGGCTCCTCCTGGGTGCCTGAGGCCCGGGGGCCAAGGCCCAGGTCTGGGGGTCTCACCCGAGCTGCGTGTTGGAATCACCTGGAGCGTTAGAATTACAGGGGCCTGGCTTCCCGAGCCAGGGACATAGGCCGGCCCACCCTGTTTGTCCAGGACTGTCCTGGTTTGGCACCAAAAGTCCGGACAAGCCCACCTGGGCATCGGGTCTGTGAAAGCGCCCAGGAAATTCCACGCGCAGCTGGG